CCATGATAATGCTGGTCCTGTGTCTATGTCCATGTCTTGTCCATGATAATGCTGGTCCTGTGTCTATGTCCATGTCTTGTCCATGATAATGCTGGTCCTGTGTCTATGTCCATGTCTTGTCCATGATAATGCTGGTCCTGTGTCTATGTCCATGTCTTGTCTGGGATAATGCTGGTCATGTGTCTATGTCCATGTCTTGTCTGGGATAATGCTGGTCCTGTGTCTATGTCCATGTCTTGTCCATGATAATACTGGTCCTGTGTCTATGTCCATGTCTTGTCCATGATAATGCTGGTCCTGTGTCTATGTCCATGTCTTGTCCATGATAATGCTGGTCCTGTGTCTATGTCCATGTCTTGTCCATGATAATGCTGGTCCTGTGTCTATGTCCATGTCTTGTCCATGATAATGCTGGTCCTGTGTCTTTGTCCATGTCTTGTCTGGGATAATGCTGGTCATGTGTCTATGTCCATGTCTTGTCCATGATAATGCTGGTCCTGTGTCTATGTCCATGTCTTGTCCATGATAATGCTGGTCCAAGTCCATGTCTTGTCTCCATGCTTTGCTGCTTTTCCCATCTGAAGTTTAATTGTTATTCTTGTATTGCCATTTATCATCTAGTTCTTGTATAGTTTCATTTCTTGTCACAACTTCAGCGATTATCAGTGCCTTTGTTTTCTGTTTCAAAGATCAAAAATGTTTTCTTTAGTCTTCAAATTTATCTGTTCATGATTTTGCATTTGTGTGTGCATTTTTAAATTATAAATTTATATGCTGATGATTTTATTTCAACTGATAATGTATCTGCTGATGTTACATTGTGAAGCATTGCTCTCCGATAATTTTACAGACAGTAAATCTATCTTAAATTCACTACAGGGACACATTGTTTTGAATAAATCTGTTTTCTGTTCTAAGTTTGTTTGCTTTGTGTTCTGTGAGTTGAAATGTTTCTTTACACAAATGCAGTCTTGATCTGTGTCACATTTGTGTTTGCTGGCTCATAAACAGCATCCTGTCTTGAAAGTTGAAGTATTTTGGTCACATCAAGTATCATGGTGGCTTGGAAAAGACGGTGTTGGAGGGTGCAGTTTGTGGGAGGTGAGGTTGACCTGCGCGAAGATGGATACAGGACATAAAAGATGCATTGGAAATGAAAGCACATGGGGTTGGAGAGCTGGCTAGGGAAAGGGATAATTTCAGGCGTGCCGTGAAGAAAGCGACATTCTGTAAAGGACTTGCTTATTGATGAGGGCACAGTTCAGTCTTGATCATTGTTCTGATTAGTTTGTTCTGTAGAACTCATTTTTATCCGGTGAGAGGGTTTGGGTTCAAAATAACATAAACCTTGACATTGCAAATACGCTTCTTGATGCCGAGGTGCCAGATTTGATCCCAGCTGCGGGATCTTGCATTGGTTTCACAGTGGTATCGAGAAGCCGACCGTCCAGAAAGCAATAGCAAACTACTGGACGTATATCTGCTTAGAAAAACCACAACAGCCAAAAAAATGCTGGGGTTCGTCCTACATTGTCCTGTAAAGAATGCTCAACTAACTTTTAACTTGAAACATTAGGATTGTGGAGGTGTATCTGCGGAAGCACTAGAGCACAAAAACCACCATCTTTCTGTCTTCTGCTTGCTGAACAAGTGTATAATAATTTGGTCCTGTAAATGTCTTGACGTTATCATTCCAAGATATTATATTATATTTATTTACCATCATCATCATAAACCTCTTCTGTCATTAAGCGTCGTGGGGAGAAACCATTTGCAATCCAGTGCACGTTGGCTGCCACTGGCTGTTGTCATGTCGTGAAGGTGTAGAGTGTCTTTAATGTTGTTGATCCATATTTTCCTCGGCCGTCCTCTTGCTCTTGTAGCTGATCTTCTGAGATGTAGTGCTTGTGAGGGTATTTGATCTTGCGGCATTCTAACAAGATGGCCAAACCACTTAATCTGCTGTTTCTCGATGAATCTACTACAAGGTGTCGTTCCCACAATTTGCCTGATAGTTTCATTATTCACTCGATCTCGGATGGCTAGGTTGGCTGCTTTTCTCAGGCACCTCATCTCGCAGGTGGTGGTTTTTCGTATATGGGCGTTAGATAGTGTCCATGTTTGGCACTGGTAGCTTAATGTTGGAATGAATATGCTATTAATAATCTGTCTCTTTGCACTCAATAGTTATGCTTGGAGGTCTTAATAATGGTGACAATTGGTAAATAAGTGCTTGCTTTCTGGCTTCTATTTCTCTGTCTATTCTACCATCTTTTGTGATCATACTTCATAGATATTTTAACTCCCTAACTTGATTCAGAGCAGAACCATTCAGCGGTATGTGTAGTGGATATTTATTTACCATTCACCACATAATAATAATAATAGTGCTTTTCCTGCTTCCCCTTTAAAAAATTATAAGGGGGTTGAGAACACACACACCGCGTGATTTCCTTGTGGCTATTATATTGATAGCCATTCAGCACACAGAAATCTTCTTGTTTTTCTTTCATTCACTTGATATAGGTTGTCTCAATCTGCAGTGTTGTCTCTAGTATGAATTTCACTGTCTTTTTTAAATTCACTCAGTGACCTATTACGTTTGGCTACTTCAGTTGGAGGTGTTTCTCTTGACCAGAAGTTTTGCCTTCATATGTTGTATTTGGTACAGTCTTGTGGAATTTGGTTTGTTTTCCGAGGGGCCAATCCACATGTGCATATGGCTGATTTGCCAATACTAATAATAATAGCTTTTATTCTCCCATATTCATCTAAAAAAGCTTGAAGCAAATAATTTGGATAGTGGTAGAGAATTCATAGTGCTCTGTCTCCATAGCCTTTTTATTGAAACAGCACTATCATCTCATCATCATTCAGCAGGTTTTTTACTTCTACTTCTTCTTCTACGTTCACAGGCAGTAAGCTCCAGCTGAGTATCCGGGTTGTTTATCTGTTTGGACTTTGGCTTTGTGCCAAGACCTGAGTCTGTTTTACTGGCGTATTTGTGTACAGTTGGTTGTTCCTTGTGTATTTCTGGTGTTCAGACACATGTCAGAGCTTCAACTGACCATACATACATGTGATTTCTCTTGGAGATACTTCAGTGAAGGGATTTTCAGTATTGTTCTTCGTAATTGTAACTGTATGGGTGGGCATACACAGCGCAGGTAAATGAAAAGACAGTATAAAGAAGAAAGTCCGTTATTCATTTCAACTACTTATAGCATGGTGATGGAAATAGCTGTCACAGGGGCACTTGCATGGCCGGCGGACAGAATGCAACTCACATATTGATAATGTCAGACTCATTGAGCATGCTTAACTCTTTGAGTCCCAGGGGGTTTAGCATCACAGGCCCAAGGAGGGTTAAGAGAGACGTAAAATCGGCGCATCATGCGTTCATTGGGCCTCTAGATAGGAATCTACGTACGTATGATGCGTTCCTTGGGACTCAAAGAGTTTAGTTAAGTATATCCAAACTGGCAACCTCAGACTGGAATGGGTTGGCAGTATTGAGGAGTCCCGCCTCAAGAAATCATATTGACAGTACAGGAATGGGTAAAAAAATTGAAAAAACCTACAGAGTGGCCATATCTTCAGTGGTTGGGTGAAGGAAGAAATATCGACAGGGCAGACATACTGAAAGTGCTGTTTTCTACCAAGACCGGCTCCATTTGATGGGCTGTGCTGCTGACATCACCTGGTCAGGTTAAGGATGCATTAACACAGCAGTTCTCAAACAAGAAATAAACTGTTTTCGACAGTGGCCAGGGAAGACAAATTTAACTTTTATGTATCTACATGCCATCTTTAATAATTTCACAATTGTTAACCGACTCTTCTTGATTATTGCCGTGGCACCCCTGGCATATGCTCACAGCACCCAGTTTGAGAACCGCTATGTTAACGCAACATAGCCCGACCTGGTGACGTCAGCAGCATGGCCTGTCAGCTGGAGCCGGTCGTGGTTCTCAGACCTTAAGATCAAGGAGTAAGACAATGAACTGCCTGCTGGAAATGAGTGTACAGTTGTCCAGAGGTCAGAAACCATTTGTGGGTCAACTCCTACTGGGTATTTTGGGCATGGAGACACTGAGATGGCTGCTGTATCGAAGGACAGAACATGAATTGGTCAGACCGATGTGCGAGAATGTCGATGTTGATTGTGATCATGTGAAGCTGACTATTTCTACTTTTCATTTGTTTTGATATTTGTTTAAATGTTTAGGTTTAGGTTTTAACAGTGGATCAGCATCATAGCACAAGTGTAGTGACCCATAAGTGCTCCATTCTACTTCTAACTCAAGCCTGAGTAAGATTCTTAGCACAGTGCATGAACTCTGTAGCACCGGCGAGGATCCTGAAAATATTTTGGGTAGATTTTAACTCCAACTTTTTCCAGGTAGTGCCGTTAGGCTTCACTTTTCGATTTCCAACTGCCAAGGGATTTTTTTTAAACGTGCGCAACAATACACACGGGCGTCCGATCTTACTACCCAGAGACCAGAGGAAATTATTATGCCCACGTGAAAAAATTCCAGCCTTCCCCAGGGTTTGAATCCAGGACCTCTAGCACTCAAGGTGGACACCAAGTTCCCTCTTTATTCTATATCTTTACAGAACGTCGCTCTCTTCACGGCACGCCTGACAATCTCTAGCCAATTCTCTAGCCTTGTCTGCTTTCATAGCCAATGTACTTCATTGTCTTATGCACACCTTCGCTTCTGCCTCATTTTCTGGAACCTGCACGCCCCATCAACGTTTTTTTTTTTTTTCACAAGCTAAGATATAACACTGTCATGTGAAAAACGAACGAACGACTACGGAAATGGCACATGATGATGATGAAATTAATGAGAGTGACGTAGCCGCTGACGTTGACCAATCACATTCTCAGTTATAAATGTCGTGGCTGTTAGACGGTGTATTTCCGGCCGACACAAGGGCGACGCTGATTGGCGGGATTCGCCGGTTGCCGTCTGCAATAAGTCTGCAGGAAAATGTCTACAGCTGGAAACATGGAGTCCGTCTTGTCTCTGTTGCTGATGGTCGTTATTGCCGTCTTCCATGCCGTTTCTGCAGATATCGTCCTAGGTTCTGTTTCACTCAACACTGGTGTCTTTGATAAGGTATGTGCATCGTGAATAGTTAATCATTGGCGCGGCTACATCATTTCATTCAACAGCGTAGTGTAGTAGTGAGTAGTCAGTCATGTTACTGTTAGTTTTGTGTCTGTTGTAGAAAGAAAATATAACGAACAAAGAGCAAGCATTAGGGGGAAGATCACGCAGAATATTAATTAACAGTGTCGGTAACGGCATTGAATAAAATAAATATCAACTCATGCAACGCAATAGAAAAAGCACACGCAAAATCATTACACTCCTCTCCCCACCCCCAAGGTAACTGGAGTGGGAGAAGAAGATTGGGCTCTCCTCCGAACTTCTACCCCCGTAGTATGGCGGCCTGAAATATCCGTTCGGGGCTCAGTTCTGTTAAAAATATGCCGGCTCCTTATAGCGAAACAAATGCTCTAACAGGCTGTCAGCAATATGTTATTTGCGGACTTGTTTCTTATTGTTTCTGATTACCTGACAATTCTAAGAGACGCAACACTGCAGACGATAATAGCGACCGTTGACACTTTCCATTGTCGGACTTTCTGCCGACGAACAAATCGCAGCAAATCTAGGATCGGCTCGGAAAAACGAAACAAATGCTCTAACAGGGTCTCAGCGAAATGTTACTTGCGGACCTGTTTCTGTGACTGTGCCTCACCGCCGACCGTATCCCCCGCTCCGCTACGTGCTGCACGGTTGCAGCGATTTGCGTTCTCTTGAAATTGTCAGAAAGTCCGCATTTTTCATTGGACTGAGCCCCGAACGCATATTTCAGGCCGCCATAATGCGGGTATAGAAGTTCGGAGGAGAGCCACTTTTGTTGTAGTGAGAAAATAAAAATATATATAATGAACAAAGAGCATTGGGGAAAGATCACACGGAATATAAATTGACAGCGTCGGTAACGGCATTGTATAAAAAAAATATAAACTCATGCAACGCAATGGAAAAAAGCACACGCAAAATCCAAACACTCCTCTTCCCACACCCAAGGTAACTGGAGAGAGAGAAGAAGATTGTACTCTCAGGCTTATGGTAATTTGTTAATTGGTCTCAGATTGTCAGGTCGGCTCTGTGGCTAAGTTGATGCGAACGCTTTGTAATGCCGGGTTCGATCCCAGCTGCGGGCCATGCTCTTTGCGTTGGTTTCGACAGAGGTATCAAAAAAGCCGACCGTCCAGAAAGCAATGCCAAACTACTGGACGTAAATTTGCCTAGAAAAACCACACAACTCTGATTGTCAGAGAATTCATAGACAGACAGTTGGGCGATAAGTGAAATATTATTTGGAAGCAGCAGTGGATAGAGTTTTATAGACGAATGATAACAATTCGCGCTGAACAGATTAAAAAAGGGTCGTGAAGATTAAAAGTGACTCCGGAAAAGTCTGATTGCCGACTTCAATGGGGACAATCTACTAAATTCTTTGCTCATGTCATGAGAATTGGAAAACTGGAGTACATTCTGACGGCGGGAAAGATAGGGAAAATAGATGTCCCTAACAGCATCTCAGTCCTATGCAAAATGCTGTTGCAAAAGAACAGTCACTTGATTGGCTGAACCTGAAGGTATTCTTATGTGCGATTGAACAGTTTCACTCAGTAAATTACAAAGATTTGATATGTCAGAACCATATTCCTTTCAATAACTATGAATTTTTTTTGTAGTAGCATAATTACTTAACACCCCCCTTAATTCACGTTAAATATACCTTTTGGTCACTTTCTTGTGTGTCTTAAATATCTTTTGTTATATTCTTGGGGTGTTGTTATACATTTTCCTGCTGGCAGCATATCACAACAGAAATATGCTATTCCATACAGGTAGTTCAGAAACACAAAGCAGTCCTGGTGAAGTTTGATGAGACATACCCTTATGGGAAAAAACAGGACGCATTTAAGGAAGTTGCCAAGGCAAGTTTACAGCAGGCAGATCTTCTTGTGGCTGAGGTTCAGGTGGCAGGTGTGTATATTTAACTTTGGCAAAAATAAAACAAAAACTTTAGTTTTATCTTTTTTTTTTCCCTCAACATTCACCCTTTGAATGGTGATTAGCTGTTGCGTTGTGGCATACATTTAGGCTGCGATATCTATATCTTGAAGCCCAGCGCACCTGATTTAAAAAAAAAACAGTATAATTGTCTTTTATGACTTGCTTGTTAAGAGGCAGTGGGTTTGTAATTTTTTTACCTCCAAAATGAGGCATGAAACCTATAAGGGACTTGTTTTAATAACTGTGGTGCAAATATTATTTTACTTAAAGTGATGTACTTTTTTTTCTCTTCTGGTTCCATTTTCATACATAACCTATGTTTATTGTAGCTGAGATGCTGCTAACCACAGCTGGAGAGTATTAGATAAGTAAAATTTTGTTGATTTTATGTTAAGACAGGTTGTTACTGCAGCTGAGGGATGAGTTTTTGAGGGATATTTGTAGGAAGTAGCTTACATCTCTGTCTTTAGCCTCTTACTTTGTTAGAGGGGTCCTTTGATGTATGTTCTGGGTTCACTCTTCTTACTGGAAAGATATCTGTTTGGTCTTAGTGGATGTATCTCTGTGTTCAGTCTTGCTGGGAGTATCTTCTTTATCTTTGTTGTTCACTGGCTGTAAGCTCCGCTAAAAAATCCCACACGGGGAGCTGGGGATATAAACCTTGGGAGTTCATTTCTTGTTGACCTTGGTTGTTTAGAAGCTGTTATCATGTCTGTTGAGTTTTCCAGTCATAATTTGTGTTATATATTTAGTACACCGCTGATAAAGACTCTGGTCAATATGCTCAGCTGAATAAAGACTTCAGTCGAAGTGTTCGCTTGTATTTGTGCACATTTATTCCACCTGGGTTGAGTTTTCAAGTCATATTTGTTATATTAAGCACTTCTTGGAGTAGGCTGATTAGGACTTTTATTTAGTTATTTAGTGTCTGCTTGACTGAATCTGCTCTGCTAATTTGTTAATGTTGCAGACTACGGTGACAAGGACAATGCAGATTTAGCTGAGAGATATGGCATCACCAAGGAGAAGTTTCCTGCATACAGACTCTTCCTTGATGGGCAAACACAGGCCCCCGCTGTGTTTACGGGAAATGCTGAAAGTGCAGATGATGTGAAAAATTTTGTCATTCGAGAGTCAGGTATGTATGTAAACATTGCGTTAATAAATCTTAAATAATGGGTTGTACTGAGGATTGTGGAAAGTAAAATATGAGTGGGTTGTACCAGAGAATTGTGGAAAGTAAAATTTGAGTGGGTTGTACCAGAGAAGTGTGCTGAGTAAAATATGAGTGGGTTGTACCAGAGAGAGTATAATATGAGAGGGTTACCATAGAAATGGGGAAAGTAGAATTTGAGTGGATTGTACCAGAGAAGTGGAAAGAGTAAAATATGAGTGGGTTGTATCAGAGAATTGTGGAGATTAAAATATAAGTGGAATGTACCAGAGAAGCAATGTAAAATATGAGTGGGTCTTCCCGTTTGGGTTCCGATACCCCATTGTAGGGAAAACAAGAATAGACCCACTGCCTCCCCAAACATGTCATAGGAGTCGACTAACTGGGAGCTTCCTTCGAAGTGCATCTGCCTTAGAGGCAAGGAACCAGCAATCTGCATACAAATAACGCAGATTTGTAAAACGGATGTACACGTAACATTAAGGTTTTGGAACAAGACTAATGTCCAGAGGTGGACAAACAGCCAGATTTTTCCGCCAGAGTTTATAGCCAGTGAATGTGTACCAGAGTGGGGAGAGTAAATAATGAGTGGGTTGTACCAGAGAAGTGTTAATAGTTAGAGTCATATATTTTTTACAGGACATTGCAGAACCAACCCTAGCATTTTTAGGCTGTTGTGGATTTTATAGGCAAATTTACATCCAATAATTTTGCCATTGCTTTCTGGATGGTCAGCTTCTTGATACCACTGTCGAAACCATGTATAGTGCAATGCCCGTAGCTGGGATAGAACCCAGTACCCCTGCATTTCAGATCGCGTTCACAACGCCTAAGCCACAGACACCAGAGAAGTGGGGAGAGTTAAATATGTCAAATGTGAGTACAAAGGTCACAGTACGACTGGTCCTACCACCACTCTACACAAAGTACAGCTGATCAGACACATCACACACAGTTGATCCTTCCACACTGGTTTTACTACAACTAGTCCTACCACACCACACACAGTTGATCCTTCCACACTGGTTTTACTACAACTAGTCTTATCACACCACACACAGCTGATCTTTCCACTCTGGTTTTACTACAACTAGTCTTACCACACCACACACAGCTGATCTTTCCACACTGGTTTTACTATAACTAGTCCTACCACACGACACACAGCTGATCTTTCCACATTGGTTTTACTATAACTAATCCTACCACACGACACACAGCTGATCTTTCCACATTGGTTTTACTATAACTAGTCCTACCACACGACTGATCTTTCCACACTGGTTTTACTATAACTAGTCCTACCACACGACACACAGCTGATCTTTCCACACTGGTTTCACAACTAGTCCTACTACACCACATACAGGTCTCAGCAGAACTAGTCTGGCAACACCACACAGGTCACAGTACAGGTAATTCCACTATATCATAGCTAGGACAACCTGTCCTACTTTATCATTGCTAGTCAGGTCTTACTACAGTCGACATACAATGTGAAATCTTCTGGCAGGTTTGTGGCTTGGTCGACCTGGCTGTCTGGAGCAGTTTGACAAGCTAGTGAAAGAGTTTCTCAAGGCAGGTGCAGATCAGAGGACTGCAGTGTTGGAGAAGGCAGAACTGGCGGTCCAGCAGTTGACTCAGGAGAGCGAGAAGTCAGCTGCTGATGTCTACATCAAAACTATGAAGAAGGTCCTAGAAAAGGGAGATAGCTTTATAGAAAGTGAAGTGTTGCGGGTAGAAAAGTTGCGATCAGGAAAGGTCAGTGATAAAAAGAAAGAACAGCTCAATGACAGGCTAAACATTCTCACAACGTTTCAAGTAGGGGTTCGGGATGAGCTGTAAATCATTGGTTGTTTGTTTGTACCAGCAAACTTGCATATTATTTCTATATTTATTGATTGTGTGTATTGTTAACATGCAGTCCTTGCGGAGTTTTACTAATTGCAAATTATGGAATAAATGTTCTTGTTGTAGGTTGTGTTAGTTCTACATTACCTAGCTCATTTTACCAGTTTGTTAGTTGTTTAATTCTTTGCTCTGGGCTGTAATTTCTCAGTTATGTTAGTTCTGCATGATCTAAGCTTCTTATTAAACTGAAAGTCATGGATCATTTTGCATAGATGGGGAATAAGAATAAAGAAGAAAGTGATTGCAGATAGGTTGAAAGCTGAGCATCTGAGAACATTAAATACAGTGGCCCTGAAATTCTATGCTCTAATTGTGGAGGTGTCTTCCTAATGTGAGTGGATCTTGCTAGTTGTCATTGCCATTAGCTGCATTTCCCACATCTCCATACAGCACAGTATTACACTATCATCTGGAGAGATGAGAACCAAGCTTGTTTTCATTTTTTTTTAAAGCAGCTCTGGGCTGTTAGATCCACTTAATAGTTCAGGGTTATGTTGTTTCTGCATTATCTGAATTTGTTGTTTGATTTGTCCCTTGTTCAGGGCTGTTAGTTTTGCGTTGAAGCTCAAGGTTAAGTTGGTTCTGCATTGTCTAAATTTGTTGTTTGATTTGTGTCTTGTTTTGGGCTGTTAGTTCTGTTTTGTCAGTTTAAGGTTGTATGTTCACTGTTTTGTGGCTCCGTGGTTAGTGAATGTGTTGAACAGTTATGACCCTTGACTGTTAGGGTTAAATTTACATGATGGATGATTACATGAAAGCTAGTCTTGTTGTTTTCGGACAGTAGAATCCCACCATAGAAGAGACTGGGAGCCCTCACCACATAAGATTCTCAGAGACAGTGGCCAACATACAGCACACAATTTTTATAAGCTTTTATTCATTTCAAAATTATTTGTCTGAGTCACCGTCTGCGCTCAGATTTTTAACATGATTGCTGGATGACATTAGTGTTTGAACCGTGAGTGGTGAGTCGAGTAATATTCTCATTGACACCACATCATATGAGGTCACAGGCAGGATGGAATGGATTTGTTCCCAATCATTCTCTGCTGCACATTATGCATTTATTGTTAAATCTGATACACCCAGCCATGTCATCCAGGTGTTGTCTTCCAGAAGTGATTGAGGGCTGTCTGGTGTGGAGTCAACTGTGTTGTGATTGTTACATTTATCATTCATCTTGACTTAGCCTGGGATATCGTTAATGCAGTTTCACAATCTTGACCTGCCTGGGTTCAAAGCTTTTCAGAAAACGGTGAAAAGCACCGGATGTAGTTTTTATCCAGTAAAACCACACAAAAACATTCCTGGGGCTGCATTGTGAAGAAGACTTGCAGCTAAAGTAAACTATCTTTATTTGTTTTAGTATCTAGAAGCCATGAGTTGTTAACCTTTAGGCTTGTCGGTATCATGGATATCGCAACCTTTCAGCCTTGATTCCATTGTAAATACCGAACATCTGGGAGAAATGTGGCTTTTCTGCCTACGCCTTGGAGTGAACCTGGACCACAAGGAGTTCGTCAATGGGTATACCGCGCAATCCGGCTAGAGAGCCGGGCAAAGTAAATCACCACTATACAAATAAATGCCACCAAGTATGAACGCACAGGAACCAGCTGAAAACTTGCTAGTTTGTGTTGTAACTATGCTGCCACAAATTACAGTGCCACTTCTGTATTTGTGATTAAAAAGTGTCTCCAGGTTGGTTCAGTTTTGTTATTCAGATGCCTATATTGAAAAGTGAACATCAAAATTCTCCACTCCGATGTTTATTTCTGAGATCTAGGAGAATGCAAGTGATCAAACTATATCCGCTTCAACTCTTCAGTCCCAAAAAATGTATGACTGTTTGATTTGTTCTGTTATGAATCCCACCCAACAAGTAATATGTTTTCATATTTTTACATTTGACCAGAGCACACTAAGAAAATCTGGCTTTCACAGTATTTAGCTTCTTTGAAAGTAAATTATACTTATGGTTTTCCCTATTGATTATTTATACATAAGGGCATCTCATGCACAACCATTTGGTGGGGACAATGAGCAAGTGATGGAACATGCCTAGAATGTGTAGTAGCTATGCCTCTGAGCCAGCCTGTGTCCACAGAAGCAGCCTTGAGACCTGCTAGCATAATGTGACTTTAGCATTAACAGTAGAGCTGGTGTTGTATTAGTTGCCATTGATCAGTTAATTATTTTACAAATACACTGGTTTCATAAATAAATTTGTTGCCCATAAACTACAGCTGTGTGGTTGAATTGTGTCTACAAAACTTGTCAGATAGTATTGAGGTGTTGCTTGTTACATCATGGAAGTTCTTACCCACGCAGGGCTACAAAACTTGTCAGATAGTGTTGAGGTGTTGCTTGTTACATCATGGAAGTTCTTACCCACGCAGGGCTACAAAACTTGTCAGATAGTATTAAGGTGTTGCTTGTTACATCATGGAAGTCCTTACCCATGCAGGGCTACAAAACTTGTCAGGTTGTGTTGAGGCGTCGCTTGTTACATCATGGAAGCCCTTACCCATGTAGGGCTACAAAACTTGTCAGGTTGTGTTGGGGTGTCACTTGTTACATCATGGAAGTCCTTACCCACGCAGGACTACATCAGACCGGTCAAGCTGTTACCATCCCCCCCCCCCCCCCCCCCATTTATAACTTCCTTGAAGGTTGAACAGAGTCTGAGATTAACCCTGCTAGCTTGCCATCCAGATAAAGATTCTGTAATATGAGGGTGGGTCAGACTTTTAGGTGTACTTATCACAGGTGAGACGGTGATATCGGCACTACACCAAAAGTCATTGAGGTGCTAACTCACTGCTCCAAGAAAACCCTGACAGATAAACAATTTGATATGATTTGTGTGAAAAGTAATGGTTTCATTCTGACCTACATGAAGTAGGAATTCACAGGTTTAAAGTAATGGACCCTTTTCCATGCCTCCAGGTGTATTGGGTTAGATTTTATAGACCAGTCAGCACTCAGTGGGTGATGTGATCAGCATCATGCCGGCTGCCTTTACTTCCCAGGACTGTACCTGGTACCCAATTGAGGCTTGATCAACCTGGAAGCCAAGGTCCATTTAAGAAGAAAAAAAAAGTCAGGTTCCATCCGGACCCAATCCCACGACTTTACGACCCACACGCGAGTGCCTAGCCGTTACACCAACATGGATTCACAGGTGTGGCTTTGGCATATTGTAAAGTGACAGAAAACAGTTCTCAAAATAAATTTCAGTGATAATCACCAAACATGCACTTGGTGACCTTTCATGAGGTGACAATATCGGCGGATCAAAGTATCTGACTACTCCACCATTCTTGTCAACTATCCCAAATGAAGAAACATGCAGTAGCAGATCAGATTTATTTGGTAAATATGACATCTAACAACACATAGCACAAGTGGAAATTTTGCAACAAATAATATACAGTTCTAAGGAATACGGAAAAAAAACTACTGCACCCAAAATACTGACACTTTTTGTGAATTGTGTGCCGTCTCCACAATGAAGGTTGGCTTTAGTATACCCACTGTTGTCTTTAGAAAAATGATGTGATGGGGCTCCAATCTCTCACACAATGACTCTGGTCTAAGTTTCTATAGTTAGCTGGCTTTAGTATACCCACTGTTGTCTTTAGAAAATTGGTGTGATGGGTCTCCAATCTCTTACACAATGACTCTGGTCTAAGTTTCTATAGTTAGCTGCATGACCTTTATAGAACCAAGCCCAGATTTGTTTTTGGCCGTTGTGGTTTTTCTAGGCAAATTTACTTTCAGTAGTTTCCCATTACTCTCTTAGCAATCGGCACTCTATACCACCGTGGAAGCCACAGCAAAGCAGTCTGCTGCTTTATCGCCTGCATATAAGGTCAAACCTGGAACCTGGGATCTCAAAGTGCTTTTGCAGCGCCTAAGCCACAGAGCGACTCTGGTGCCAAAGTCTGAATACTGTGATGGATAACACTTACAAATATATATTGTCCAGAAACTGAACTTTTGTACATAAAGGGTTGTGAAATACATTCACTAACCTCTGAACCCTTTTTTGATTAAAGCCAAATCTTTGCTTTCAAAAAGATTTAAAGTTGTTTATAATTCTCTTAGGACATGCTCAGTGAATAAACCTTACTTTCTTTACCAGGAATTGACCCAAGAATACACAAATAAACGATCATTTTCACAAGTTTTCATGCACTTAACTTCACATTATTTCAATTTCACAAATAAACATTACAGAGATCTGCGACAGGTAGCAGTTGTATGATCAACTGTTATTTGTTCCCCAGTGGAAATTCCTGGTTGTTTGTCCACATCTGGACTCTGGGTCTAGTTCTAGGACTGAATTAGAGTTTTGGGATTCACTGATGTCTCCGCTGACATGGCCTGCCAGGTTTTTTTTTTCATGGCTAACATTCTGTTTAAATATACAAACTGTTATGGTATTCTCTGGCCATATGTTGCCATAACATTTTCTATATATGTTTGCTACACAATGTTCTCTAGCCATCTGTTGCCATAACCTTCTCTATACATGGCCTGTGAAGACTTACTAGAAATGATGAACCACAATGCTATCAGAAAAAGTCTGCTGCAGATTTCCTTTTCCTTTTGGGCAAGTTGAGAAGGTGATCTGTTAGGGAGGCAGGCTCATTTGTGGGTGTGGCACTTCCTCGACTACTGTCTGGTGTGGACCCAGCTGGACTTCCGGGCAAAGAACCCCTTGATCGTCTTGACCCTGGTGTCAGTCTCACTGGAGTGGGCGTTCCAGGAAGCCTGTGTGTGGGTGAAGGACTTGGGGAATAGCTAGCCAGGAGTGCTTTGTCTGAGGATGTCTTGATGCCGAGTCGTTTGCTGGCCAATCTTTGAGCTGCAGGAGACATGGAACTCAGGCGGTCTGATGAACTCAGGCAGATCTTGGAGGTTGGGGATGGACTGGAAATACAGGAGACTGTTAAATATTAGATACAGGGAGGTACATGAGGAATTACACTATTAGATACAGGGAGATGCATGAGAAAATATTACACTATTAGATACAGGGAGATGCATGAGAAAATATTATACTATTAGATACAGGGAGATGTATGAGAAAATATGACACTATTAGATACAGGGGGAAATATTACAATATTAGATATAGGGAGATACAAAAGGAAGCTTTACACTATTAGATATAGGGAGAACAAAAGGAAGTATTACACTATTAGATATAGGGAGATACAAAAGGAAGCATTACACTATTAGATTTAGGGAGATACAAAAGGAAGCATTACACTATTAGATATAGGGAGAACAAAAGGAAGCATTACACTATTAGATATAGGGAGAACAAAAGGAAGCATTACACTATTAGATATAGGGAGCTACAAAGGAAGCATTACACTATTAGATATAGGGAGAACAAAAGGAAGTATTACACTATTAGATATAGGGAGATACAAAAGGAAGCATTACACTATTAGATTTAGGGAGATACAAAAGGAAGCATTACACTATTAGATATAGGGAGAACAAAAGGAAGCATTACACTATTAGATATAGGGAGATACAAAGGAAATATTACACTACTAGATATAGGGAGATACAAAGGAAATATTACACTTTTAGATATAGGGCATGGCAAGCATAAAAGTCTCTTTGTCTCAAGCCAATTCTCCAACCCTATGTGCCAATGCATCTTCAATGTCTTGTATCCACATTTACAGTGTTCTTCCTCTGCCTCACTGTCTGGAAACTGTAAGTCCACAAATGTACTTTCCTGGCCACCATGATGTTTAATATGGCCGAAATACCCCAGGTTTCAGGACAAGGTGCTGTTTATGAGCCAATCCTCCTCAATGCTTAGATCATGTAGGGTGTCAGGTATTTCTACTCACAGTATTCTGAAGCACTTCAATTCAAAAGTTATGACTTAAAAAAAAAAAGAAGAAACTGATTGTAAAATAAGAGTCCATGACTCGCATCAGAAAGTTGCCCAAACTGTCACTTCAACTTGCTTGCTGGGGCTCTGCCATAGGTTCTTCTTGCTGTGTAGTCCTTGCATTGTTGAATGTTGAATTTAAGAATTGACATCATAGCACTTCGGGACACTCCCATAAACGCCTCGTCCCCCATCTTCAGCGGCAAGCAAAGAGTTAAAATTCCGATGATAAAAGTAACTGTCTCATCTGTGGGTTCTGGGGCCCTACTATGGGAAAAACAAGAATAGATCCACTGCCTACCCAAAAGCATGTTGTAAGAGTCGACTAACTGGGAGCTTCCTTCAAAGTCAGAGTGCATCTGCCTGAGAAGCAAGGAACCAACACTTTGCATACAGATTTGTCAAACGGATGTACACACAACACTCAGGTTCTGGAACAGGACTGCAGTCCAGAAGTGGATGAACAACCAGAACTTTCCACCGGAGTTTACAGCCGGTGAACGTGAAGAAAAATACCCATCTCACTTTTCCCCTGAGTGTCGAGCTGATCCCCTTGCGACTCCTCGCAGTGCCATTCTCCTCGGACCGCAATGATCTATCTGTTCCTCGGCACCGCTCACTCGCTCCCAAAGGGGCCCTCACAACATCCAGCTTGTCAAACATCAGTTTCACCACCAAGTGGTGCAGAACCAGCCAGTCTATCTGCCTGCTCATTTCCCTACACACTGCATTGTAAACCAAATTAGCATAACTAAAACATATAGTAATGTGGCAAATTACCTGGCGAACCTCCTGGTCACCTGCCTAATAGCTTCCTCCTTCTTTGCTCTGTGTGCCTTGCTGGCCTTCTCCGACAGCTCCAGAGCTAACCTGTCTCGTTTGGGGACCGCTGGAATCTGTGTCACATAACAAACAGAACATAAACCCCTGTTCTCATTCGACATTTCAAACATTTATTCACTGCAGATAAACTCTCCTTCAACTCCTTATGTAACTTTTAGCTCCTTGTATCCCCAGCACGTGAGCTAAATAAAATATATACTTAGTTATATAAAAAGTAAGTAAAGTAAAAATCCCTTTTCACGCCTTAGGCGCATCGGGTATATGGGAAGAGCGTCCCATATTTTTACAAACCAATCGGCACTAGGTGGGTAATGTGGTCAGCATTATGCTGGCCGTCTTTACTTCCCCAGGACAGCCATCCTGGTACCCATTTTAGGCTGGGTCGACTTGCGACGTCCCATACCATGACAAAAATCTACGTACTTAGTTATACACTTAGTTCCAAATGAAACCAATAGAAATACCATGTGACATCTGCTTGAGAGGTAAGGAACCAGCAGTCTGCATCCAAATAAGCCAGATTTGTAAAACATGTGTGTGAAGAAACCTTAAATTATGGATCAGGGTGAAATTCCAGGAGGAGTGGATAAACAACCAGAACCCTCTGCCATACTTAAATAAAGGTTTTGAAGAACACGAGAACAAACCTTAAATTCAGGTCCCAGGAGTGAGGAGAGAATCACAAGTACGTACCTTAAATACATGTAGGGGGGGGGAGGGGGGGAATCACAAGAATATACCCTGAAAAATGGTCTCTCTCAGATTTGAGAGAATCATAAGAATGTACCTTAAGTATAGGTCTCTCTCAGACTTGAAGAGAGAATCACAAGAATGTACCTTAAGTACAGATCCCAGGGGCGAGGAGAGAATCACAAGAATATACCTTAAATACAGATCCCAGGGGCGAGGAGAGAATCACAAGAATATACCTTAAATACAGATCCCATGGGCGAGGAGAGAATCACAAGAATATACCTTAAATACAGATCCCATGGGCGAGGAAAGAATCACAAGAACAAATACCTTAAATATGCAGTTAAGAAAATCATACAAAATCACAACCCCATCCACCCACAAACCAAAAAAAAACATGCATTGAACTTGGGAGAACCCCCCCCCCCCCCCCCCCCCCCCCCCCCGCATGTAGTAAAAGGCAACTTTGTCTTTCATTAGCTTCAAATAGTTTATCAATACCTGAAATTTTGTCTCTAGTGCGAACTTCCCTGTCTTTTGTAAAACATTCAGCTACCTGTAAACTGTGGCTTCAATCATTGTCTCTCTTGACAAGAAGTTTGACCCTGATATGTTGTATTTGGAACAGTTCTGGGGGATGTGACCTGTTATTTCAGGTGCCAACCCACATACAAACATGGCTGATTTGCCAATCGTAAATACAGGTGAATAATTAGGGATGTTCTTCACCCAGAGGTGAGAAACCAACAGGCTGCAAACAAATAAACTAGATCTGTAAAACTGATGTGCACACAAGTTCAATTTCTGGAACAAGACCAGAAATCAACAAACAGCCAGAACTGTCTCCAGGAACGCTAATAAGAAGAATAAGCAGGAATGACCTACCTTAAATACAGGGCCAGGAGTTGTAGAGAGAAACAAATCACTGTTGGCATCCAGTCGTGTGGGTGTGCTGTCAATCTCACCCCAGGTCATCAGCGGAGACTCCGACACACCTGGGGCAGGTGAGGGCGTGCCAACAAAACCATAGCCATTGACCTGTGGCGACTGGCCAGCTTGAATCTCTTTCCCATCGTGGCCAATTTTACCTGGCGACATCAGAAAGGGTCGTCACAATCATAGCACAGCAAATTGTCAATAATCGCACATCACATATTTGTACATGACATCAAGGATAATGTTAACTATCATATGTCAAACAAAATCTTTTTTTTTTAATAATCATGTATCATATCAAATCAAACAATATCTTGTAGGGAACAATCAATTATTTCATGTCCTATTTGCACACAAGAATGTAGAATTAACATTAAAAAAAACACAAAAATCTCAACAAGCAGGATAGGAAACTAAATACATTTCTCTCTCTCGCTGTTTGTATGTGTTGTATCTGACTACCTTTGCCTGATACTGTCTATCTGTATGTCTCTCTCTACATGTATCTCTGTCCGTCTCTCTCTACCTTATCTGTCTGTCCCTCTCTACCTGTATGTCTGTCTGTCCCTCTCTACCTGTATCTCTGTCTGTCCCTCTCTACCTGTATCTCTGTCTGTCCCCCTCTACCTGTATCTCTGTCTGTTCCCCTCTACCTGTATCTCTGTCTATCCCCCTCTACCTGTATCTCTGTCTATCCCCCTCTACCTGTATCTCTGTCTGTCCCTCTCTACCTTATCTCTGTCTGTCCCTCTCTACCTTATCTCTGTCCCTCTCTACCTTATCTCTGTCTGTCCCTCTCTACCTTATCTGTCTGTCCCTCTCTACCTTATCTCTGTCTGTCCCTCTCTACCTGTATCTCTGTCTGTCCCTCTCTACCTGATCTCTGTCTGTCCCTCTCTATCTGTATCTCTGTCTGTTCCTCTCTACCTTATCTCTGTCTGTCCCTCTCTAACCTTTCTGTCTGTCCCTCTCTAACTTATCTCTGTCTGTCCCTCTCTACCTTATCTCTGTCTGTCCCTCTCTACCTTATCTCTGTCTGTCCCTCTCTACCTTATCTCTGTCTGTCCCTCTCTACCTGTATCTCTGTCTGTTCCTCTCTACCTTATCTCTGTCTGTCCCTCTCTACCTGTATCTCTGTATGTCTATCTACCTGTATCTCTGTATGTCTATCTACCTGTATCTCTACTTGTGTCTGTCTGTTTCTCCTCACCTTACCTTGATTGATCAGTGCCCTAAAGCACGCTGCTTTCTGCATGGCCTCTTTGCTCTTGGTGTTACTGAAGGGACAGTGAGTAAACCGTGTGTTCCCATGGACAATCTCCCGGGGCTTGTGTTTCTGCAGCTCTATGAGTTCTTTAGCACTCAGATCCACACCTAAAATACATACATAATAACACATAAATAGCCACACCTGAAATACACAATCATCAGGGTAGCTTCAACCATGGGCCTAATGGATATTCAAGACCTAAAAAAACAGGTGGCAACACACTGCCAGACACGGTCAGCTTTAACCTCTGCCCTGTGCGGTCCAGGTTCAAGAGAAAAGACTAACTAAAATACACACACGATAACACATGAATATCCACACCCAAAATAACATTAATATCCCACATCTAAATTATACACACAATAACATGTAAATACACCTAAAATACACATACATTTACACAAATTTCCACACCTAAAATACGCAAGCGTTGAGTGTTGAGCATCGGCCAGATCCCCTGGTAACTACCTCGAAGCGCAATTCTTCTCAGACCGCGAGGGTCTTTTCGTGCCTCTGCACTGTTCACCCACTCCCACAGGGCCCACACAACATCTAGCTTATCATTCATCAATTCACCACCATACTCTGTCAATTACGACATGTGGACACAGCTGTTTCTCAATCCAGCATGAGAGCATGCTATCTTCGGGTATATAATGCTGGTACTAAGCCAAAGCCACATAAGCATGTTTTTTTTTTTTTTTGGGGGGGGGGGGGGAGGAGGAGGAGGTTCACTGCTGCATTTTCCAGGCTGTTATTTGTAATTTTATAACATGCCAAAAGCATACATGTGAATCATTACATCATGCAGATCAAAATGAAGTATTACTTTTCAATGCTCAAAGGTGGTTTTTCTTTAAATGAGAGTTTAGCACTCAGGTGAGAACACATATTTTCTGGTAGAACCATGTCATGAGATCACATACCTTTTGGTACAACTATGACATGAGAACACACACCTTCTGGTACAATATGACAGAACACATACTCTCTGATACTATATGACAGAACACATACTCTCTGGTACAATATGACAGAACACATACTCTCTGGTACAATATGACAGAACACATACTCTCTGGTACAATATGACAGAACACATACTCTCTGGTACAATGACAGAACACACGCCTCCTGGGATAACCATGACATGAGAACACATACTGTCTGGTACAATGACAGAACATATACTCTCTGGTATAACCATGACATGAGAACACATACTCTCTGGTAAAATATGACAGAACACAAACTCTCTGATACAATATGACAGAACACACCCTCTCCGGTACAATATGACAGAACACATACTCTCTGGTACAATATGACAGAACTCATACTCTCCGGTACAATATGACAGAACACATACTCTCTGGTATAACCATGACATGAGAACACACTCTCTGGTATAACCATGACATGAGAACACACTCTCTGGTATAACCATGACATGAGAACACATACTCTCTGGTATAACCATGACATGAGAACACACTCTCTGGTATAACCATGACATGAGAACACATACTCTCTGGTATAACCATGACATGAGAACACATACTCTCTGGTATAACCATGACATGAGAACACATACCTTCTGGTACATACATGACAGCATTCTGGTTGGTGTACTTCCAGGTGTTGACATGTGCTGATCTGTCTGTAATTGCCGCCTGCTCCTCGATTGAAGGAACTAACATCATCTCATAGTGCTCCTAAAAAATATTCAACACAAGTCATTTTCAGCTGATAAAATAACAAGCCAATCAGCCAGAGAAGCCAATTTCAATCAAGAATTTCTGCTTTGTGGTGCTAGGCGTTGGAGGTCATCAGATGATCGGTTACCAAGCTAGGGCAGGCTCGACTGCCTGATATGCTGTTATGTTGTAGGTTATCTCAAGATATCAGTGACTCTTTCAAATCCATATTCATTTCTACTTTCTCTTTGTACGCTCTCATTGCTGGCATCATCTGATTCATTCTCATTAATTGGCCAAACCATTTCAGTCAATATTTAAAAAAAAATCTGACCTGCTTAAATTAGAGTCAACTTCGTTATATAACTGACCTGCTTAAAGCAATCTTGGTTATATAACTGACCTGCTTAAAGTAAACTTGGTTAATTAACTGACCTGCTTAAAGTAAACTTGATTAATTAACTGACCAGCTTAAAGTAAACTTGATTAATTAACTGACCTGCTTAAAGTAAACTTGATTAATTAACTGACCAGCTTAAAGTAAACTTGATTAATTAACTGACCTGCTTAAAGTAAACTTGATTAATTAACTGACCAGCTTAAAGTAAACTTGGTTACATAACTGACCAGCTTAAAGTAAACTTGGTTATATAACTGGCCTGCTTAAAGTAAACTTGGTTAATTAACTGACCTGCTTAAAGTAAACTTGGTTAATTAACTGACCTGCTTAAAGTAAACTTGGTTACATAACTGGCCTGCTTAAAGTAAACTTGATTAATTAACTGACCTGCTTAAAGTAAACTTGGTTAATTAACTGACCTGCTTAAAGTAAACTTGATTACATAACTGACCTGCTTAAAGTAAACTTGGTTACATAACTGGCCTGCTTAAAGTAAACTTAGTTACATAACTGGCCTGCTTAAAGTAAACTTAGTTACATAACTGACCTGCTTAAAGTAAACTTGATTACATAACTGACCTGCAACTTGGTTATATAACTGATCTGCTTAAAGTAAACTTGGTTACATAACTGATCTGCTTAAAGTAAACTTGGTTACATAACTGGCCTGCTTAAAGTAAACTTAGTTACATAACTGACCTGCTTAAAGTAAACTTGATTACATAACTGACCTGCTTAAAGTAAACTTGGTTATATAACTGACCTGCTTAAAGTAAACTTGGTTATATAACTGATCTGCTTAAAGTAAACTTGGTTATATAACTGACCTGCTTAAAGTAAACTTGGTTACATAACTGACCTGCTTAAAGTAAACTTGGTTACATAACTGATCTGCTTAAAGTAAACTTGGTTACATAACTGACCTGCTTAAAGTAAACTTGGTTATATAACTGATCTGCTTAAAGTAAACTTGGTTACATAACTGACCTGCTTAAAGTAAACTTGGTTATATAACTGGCCTGCTTAAAGTAAACGTGGTTATATAACTGACCTGCTTAAAGTAAGCTAGGTTTTACACTTAAACAGTGGATTTTAAACAAAAATTGACACTGGCCTTCACGTCAATTTGGTCTAAAACAGGCACCAGGAATTGTCCTAGAAGTAAAGGTGTCACCACATCACACTTGGTCTATATAAATATAAGACTAGCATCAAATGCCAGATATTTCCTCCGAAGTCGGAGTACATCTGCCGGAGAGGCGGGGAACGAGTACTGCAAACAAATAAGCCAGTAAAACGGATGTACACGCAAAACTCAGGTCAAGGTAAAAGCCAAAAGTCCATTTTGGACGAAGAACTGCGACTTACCGCCGGAATTCACAGCCGGTGAACAAGAAGAAGAATGCCAGATATACTAGAGGTGTAAAAGGGTCACTGACTTTTGTATATCCTTGAACAAACAAGGCCGCTGAAGTGAGTAAGTGTCTCAGGCACCTAATGACATTTTTCTTAATCACATTCTTTTATTTACTTAGTCAATCCTCATCTACTTTGGGGTGTAGAGATCTCCCAGAGAGATCGCCAGACTTTTAAACAGTTCTGTTTTTGGGTTTGTTCTATTTCAGTCCTCTGTCAGTCAGGAACTGTCAGACGTCTTCCTAGCGGACCCTGAGTTGTCCTGGTTCTGTGGTTTCTGGCCTGCCATGGTGGCCGATTCTCTCCCATTAATGTCCAAACCATCCTAACTGTGACTGATCCACTCGAGTTTGTAAGATCTGGGTTTTCAAGATCCTTTCATTCTTCCCATTCACTGACTGTAAATTCTGGTTATTCATCCACTTCTAGACTTTGGTCTTTTTTCAGGACTTGATTTTTGCATGTATATTCATTTTACAGATCCGGGTTATTTGTGTGCAGATTTCCGATTCCTCAACTCTAAGACTTTGAAGGAAATGTCAATTCTCTATTTGCGCTGCCTGTATCAGCCCTTGTCCTAGTGCATCAAACCACCAACATGTGTGGCTCAGCACCACTGCCTCCCTTCAACATTCTACATGGGGGAAAGGAGGGGTTGAAATCCGGCACGTCGGTATTAGGAACCGGGTTCGCATCATGCCTAAGCCACAGACATGTTTATATCTGATATTCTATATGAGACAGGGTATAAGATATAATGGGAGGGTGACGAGACAGGGTATAAGATATAATGGGAGGGTGACGAGACAGGGTATAAGATATAATGGGAGGGTGACGAGACAGGGTATAAGATATAATGGGAGGGTGACGCGACAGGGTATAAGATATAATGGGAGGGTGGCGAGACAGGGTATAAGATATAATGGGAGGGTGACGAGACAGGGTATAAGATATAATGGGAGGGTGGCGAGACAGGGTATAAGATATAATAGGAGGGTAGCGAGACAGGGTATAAGATATAATTGGAGGGTGACGACACAGGGTATAAGATATAATGGGAGGGTGGCCAAACAGGGTATAAGATATAGTGGGAGGGTGACGAGACGGCACATGTCACAAACCTGCTGCTGCTCCTGCTCCTTCTCAAACAACCAGGCATGTTTCATCCGGTGCTTGCGCTCAGCCTCGCTGAGAATCTCCACAAATGAAGCACTGTCCTCGCTCGTGTTCTTCGACAGAAAAGAATCCAGAGACAACTTTGGTGCATCGTTATCTGAAATGAGAAACCGCAAATGAACAACAAAATGAATTCGGCATTTAATGTTAAATAAATCATGTCATAAGAATCGACTATTTGAGAGCTTCCTTCGAAGTCAGAGTGCATCTGCCTGAGAGACAAGGAACCAACAGTCTGCATTCAAATTAGTCAGATCTGTCGAATTGATGCAAATGCTACACTCAGGTTCTGGAATAGGACTGCAGTCCAGCAGTGGACAAACAACCAGAACTTTCTGCCAGAGTTTACAGCCTGTGTATGCAAAGAAGAAGAAGAATATTAAACAGCACCTGCAAGAATGTTAAAGTTCACAATTTTGAGATCATGCATCTTTTCCCTGGCAGCTTATGTGCGTCAGTCACGGACTCTCATTCCGTTTTTGAAGAAAAAAATTGGAGCTTTTAAACTGAAATACTACAGAAAAAATTGTAAGAATACCACAGGCTAAGAAAAAGAACGACGTCGACATTCTGCATGACCTGAACACTAAGGAGAACTGGCCCGTAAACTCATCCCATCCTGAGGTATTTGGACATGTCAAGCGCCATGAATTTCTGCAAAGAACGGGGATAAAAGGTGCAGTTTCCCCAAACTGAGGCAGACGCGACCTTCGGGAAGGCAGATACCAGACATTGTGAAGATGCACTGTCTATGAATGCACACAGGGCTGGAGAAATGACTAGAGAAAAAGATACTTGCAGGCACGCTGTGACGACAGCAACATGCTGTAAAGGACATGCAGACTAATTAATTGAAAACTCAATAACTGATTGATATTCTAATTACATACATTTATTTATTTTAAACCTGGATTTTTTTCCGCATGAGAACTTGGCTCTTGTCAAGACCTAATATGTCTTCTGATAAGGACAGAGGTCAGAGCTAAGAGATGTAGACACAGGTCTGAGCTAAGAGATGTAGACACAGGTCTGAGCTAAGAGATATGGAGGGCTAATAGACTGCAATGGTTGGGACATACAGAGAATGGCAGACAACAGAGAGACAAAAATTGCCTATATTATAACTGAGCAAACCACAAGACAAGACAGTAGAGAGACAATACAGACTTTACAAAACTCAGTCACAAAATGGACAGAGAAGGCCACTAAAAGAGATATGTGGAGGCAGGAGATATCTGCAGTAATCAATCTCAGTCTGCCAATGAACAATGGCACATAACCACATAATTAAAGAGTTTAAATGAAACTAACTGTTGCTATCATTACCTTTCTCATCTGTGGAATCTTCTTCAACATCCAGGTTTGTGTTGATATTCTGCAGTGGCTGTTCAGCAGTGGGCTGCTTCTTACCAGCTGGCGTTGTCTTCCGCCTGCCTTCCGGTGTCTCAAATGTTGCTGGTGTACCTGCTAAAAGATGGAGAAAAAAATATAGATACATATATATTAAAAACACACATAATTTAGATAATCATTTATTTAAAGCATCAATATCATTTTTGATACATTCATTACTTGATAATTCAATTTGGGAGCTGTGTGAGATCTGTCTGCCTGGCTGATGATTTCAACTAGAGATTATATCTGGGGTAGGGTGTATACAGCTATTAATAGCAATCTAATTAGTTTATTTTTATTTTCAAGGTCACAAAAGTAGTGCTACAACTAATGGAACTACTGAAGAGTCCTTGTGCGGGTTAGGGAGCTTCAGCCCATTATGGGGGGGGGGGCGCGAGGGAGAAATAGACCCACTACCTCTACACCCAGACATGTCATACAAGGCAACTAATTCAGCGTGTTTTCTTTTACCTTATTGTGCGTCTACCTGATAAGGGAAGAACCTTAAGTTAGCACACATATAAGCCAGAACTAAAGCAGATGTTGAGGACACAAATAAAACCAAGCCCTAGAGGCAGGTTAAAGCTGTCCAAGTTTTTGTGTTATTTTTATTTTTCAATGGCAAAATATGTGCATACCAAACTCAAGTTCTAGAACAAGACAATGCAAAAAAGTAGATAAACAACCAGAACTTTCTGCAGGAGTTTACAGTCGGTGAAAGCTCAGAAGACAAAGTCCAAAAACAGACAAACAACCAGAACTTTCTGCAGGAGTTTACAGTCGGTGAAAGCTCAGAAGACAAAGTCCAAAAACAGAAAAACAACCAGAACTTTCTGCAGGAGTTTACAGTCGGTGAAAGCTCAGAAGACAAAAGTCCAAAAACAGACAAACAACCAGAACTTTCTGCAGGAGTTTACAGTCGGTGAAAGCTCAGAAGACAAAGTCCAAAAACAGAAAAACAACCAGAACTTTCTGCAGGAGTTTACAGTCGGTGAAAGCTCAGAAGACAAAGTCCAAAAACAGACAAACAACCAGAACTTTCTGCAGGAGTTTACAGTCGGTGAAAGCTCAGAAGACAAAGTCCAAAAACAGACAAACAACCAGAACTTTCTGCAAGAGTTCACAGTTGGTGAAAGCTCAGACAAAGATGTTTTGCACCCAAGGACAAATATCTGAGATTAAGAAAAACTTAGGAGTAGTGTACATATATATATATAGTTAGGTTTTCGATGGTAATTAAAGCATGCATGACTGAACAAATATCATTAGATAATATAATGCGGATGTATAAATAATGTCTTTCATGTCAACAACCCATGTACTCTTGGGGCCCCCTCTTGCTCTCATTTCCGGTACTAAGGGGCTTCAAACAAAGAGTGTGATAGAAATTATAATAACCAAGCCATTGTCTTGTAATCTTTCAATATTATTATTAAGGATGTTAAGAGTGTTAAGCACATGACACAACAGTTCAGATAAATACTGTGACACCAAAACATTTTGAGAAATACCGGTGCAAGCCAAACTTTACAGGTCACTGATTGAATTATGACAGACAATAAAGTTCATATTAGAGACAACATTGCAGATACAGATAATCAAGCGGATAAAAGAAGAAGAAGATAACGGTGTAAAGATGGCCACCCAACTTCTGAACTAATAAGGAGCAGCATTTACAAGCAGCCTTTTTTGTGTTATAAAGTGTAGATAATACTTTGATGGTTGTGGCTGCATTCTAACAAAAGGACCAACCCATTTGATCTTCAGCTTTTCATAGATGCTATCAACAATATGTGACTGAGTGGGCAAGCTACACGCAAACATAGCAACAGTTGAGACATTCACTCACAAACATGACAACAGTCTAGACATTCACTCACAAACATAACAACTGTCTAGACATTCACTCACAAACATGACAACAGTCGAGACATTCACTCACAAACATGACAACAGTCTTGACATTCACTCACAAACATAAAAACTGTCCAGACATTCACTCACAAACATCTGTAGCTCCTGTGTCTAGTCGTTTTGAGAATCTCATCTGTATTTCTCTCAGCTTGACCAAATCATTTTTGTCCAGCGCTTCAAAATATTCAGCCTCGGCCTGCAACTTGGGGATATCTGGGAAGAAATCTCTCTCAATAATTTTGCTGATGCCCTGAAAAAAGAAGACAATTGCACAATATTTTATATACAGAAAACCAACACAAAATAATTCAAAACAAAGAGATTGTACACTTTGTGGGAAGAGGGAGCAACAGTATGAACATTAGAAAGTTTGTAATGAAACAAGAGTATTTAATGTGTGTTTTCTCTCTCTCTTGTTTTGTTTTTCTCTCTCAAAGCAGATTTTATCCATGTTTAAACTGACATAGTATTAAAGACACAATAAAGAACCGTGAAAGAAAATCATGTGATTAAAATGAGAGACTCAAGTAAACAGTGAAAGAAAATGAGAGACTCAAGTAAACAGTGAAAGAAAATGAGAGACTCAAGTAAACAGTGAAAGAAAATGAGAGACTTAAGTAAACAGTTAAAGAATAAAAATGAGAGAGACTCAAGTAAACAGTGAATGACTGAAAATGAGAGACTAAACTAGAAAGTGATGAGAAATGGCAGACTTAAGTAAAATAAATGTAACATTACACGCAATAAGAAACAACAGACTAAAGTTAACAGTGACAAGAAATGACAGACTTAAGGGGTCACTACACGGCCTTTATTCCAATTTATGACAGAAAAATCACCTTTTCAATGTGTTCATTTTTGTAAAGTTCGGCATTCGTAGAATAGATTATACACAAAATTTATGTCATTTGTAAACACATTAGCTTTGAAAAGTTAATACTAAAGGCACCAACCCATGCACTTTTTCAAGATAAAAAGTTTAAAAGTCAGTTTTCTCACATCTCTATATTTCTGTTTGTTGTGTGTGTGAAATCCTAAAATCTCAGCTAATATAAAGACTAGAAACATGAGATTTAGTGTTGATACTTCTTGAACAATACTATAGGGACTGGTATTTTTAAAAGGAGATTTTAGAAAGTTTTTGTTTTTTAAAATTTTATTACTGTCTTACGATGCAAGATTTTTTTGACTTTTTCAATAAACCTACATTTTAAAATTCTACAAAAAAATTTTAAAAACATATAATGACAATAATATAATAATTGCTTTAGCTCTGTAAAAAAAAAAATTTAAAAAAAATTTGCCGTAGTGACCCCTTCAGTAAACAGTGGGATTTAAGAAAAAATGAGTAAAAATAGACAGTGACCGTAAACAAAGGACTTAAGTAAACAATGACAAGATATATTGTCACAGACTAAAACAATGAATACAAATGACAGACTAAAGCAAGACTATTCAACAAAGTTTACTCAGGGGCCAATACTTCAAAAACTGGGATCGTCATGGGCCAGATGTCCAAAAAAAAACTGGCAAGATCTATGGGGCCACTTCTGCAGGCCTGATCTGGTCTGAATGTTCATTAAGGAATCGACATCACAGCACTCGGGACACCCCCATAAGTGCTCCGCCACCATCTTCAGCAGCAAGTGAACAGTTAAAATTTAAATAGTACCAGTAACTGTCTGACTGCATATCCGTCTCGCCTCTTCCCTGATTGTCGAGCATCGGCCAGATCCCCTGGTAACTCCTTGCAGTGCCATTCTCCTCAGACCGTAAGGATCTATCTGTTCCTCCGCACTGTTCACCTGCTCCCAAAGGGCCCTCACAACATCCAGCTTGTCATTCATCAGTTCACCACCAAGTGGTGCAGAATCAGCCAGTCTTTCTGCCTGCTCATTTCTTAACACACTGGCATAACTTAGAGAAAAATATCCAAAGGATGCTAACTACCCGGGACTTTTTGAGTGATGCTTGCCGCTCTGCACACAGCATGCCTGTCTCCACCTTTCTCAACACGCTCTCTGAGTCAGTTACAATCACAGCATGATTTGGTCTGCTAACTAAAAACAACAGATAAAGAGTCAGGACAACAATGTGACAAGAAAAAAGCTAAACAAAAGTCTACAGACTTAACAGACAAGTAAACAAGTATATTACTTATAGGTACACAATTATTAAAGCTAAGTAAAAAGTACATCAATGCCAATAGACCCAATAACCAATTTATCAGTCAACGATTGACTGATTGACACACATATTTACATCTGATAAGCAGACTAAACTACTCAAATCAATCACAACAATAAACAATAACAACGGCAAAAGACCACCTAGAAGAAACATTGGGCTCTCCTTTAAATAGCGGTCGCTAGCTGGATGGCGATGGTCCCTTTGTCAGAGTTCACACTCCCCTGTCTCCAGTGCAATTACGGAGTGGAAAAGAGGGAACAAAACAAATGAGATGGTTACGTGTCATCCCAGGGTTAGGCTTAGTGTTTGGGTTAGGTTAGAGTTAAGGTTTGGGGTATTGTTCGGGGTAGGGTTAGGGTAACACATCTCACGGAAACCACGCAAGCCTATCGCTCATTACGACATACAGATCCATAGGTCTCACATCTACAGTCACTAAGTCTTGCGTCGGAAGAACGCGGTTGCTAATTTGAGTCGCAGCGAGTGGTCTACGAGAGTCTTGCGTCGCAAGAAAGTGGTCGCTTATGTCAGTCGCAGCGCGTGGTCTAGCTCTAGCAGCCATGTTGACGTCAGTTTGTGTATTAATTCGTGACTTGTCCACTCCGTAATTGCACTGCAGCCAGGGGAGTGAACTCCGACTAAGAGGCCGTCGCCATCCAGCGACCGTTATTTAAAGGAGAGCCAAACATTGAATTTAATCACAGTCATCATATCACGCTCGCTCACTTTCACTTACCACTCCCTACAAATCAATCAAACAATGCTAAAAAAAAAACACACACACACAAACCTGTGAGAAGTCATCCTCGCTGAGAATTTTTCTGGCTTTTGTCAGTTTCTTGATTGGTGCTGGATAGTTCAGCGAAACCACGTTTTTGTTCGCAATTTGTACCGTGTCCCCCATGTTGTCACTTGTGTCTATGACTATGACACTAGTACTGATTGTCAGTGTGACAGCTCACTGCCAACTGACTGCGATAAAGAAGTTCAGAAGTCGCCGCCGGAAAGTTCCAAATGAAATCAAACTAAAGTCGCTCTTTACCCTTATTATTTATAGTTTGAGTGCAGACTAAAACAACAATCAAATTGAATTTGAAATTCTACTAAATAAACTATTTATTAACTGTTATTAACGGAACGACGTTACAATGTTACAAAGTGAGCTGCCGTGAACTTCTAACAAGACAAACGATTGGTCCTAGCCGATGTAACATATGAGCAATTATTTTGCCAACTACACACAAACGGGATACGACTAACTGACTGTCTTGTACAACAACTGTGTGCTGAAAATAAACAACTGCAAAGAAGACAACAATCGCCGATGGCTACACAGCGGAAACGTTATTTCTGAGTCAGCCGTCAGCCCGGAACTTCCGGCATAAGCCCCCCACCCTTCCTCCCCCTCCCCTCCCCCCCCCCCCCCCCCAAAAAAAAAAAAAAACTAAATAACGAAACATTTTGTACTTACTTTACTTTTACTTTTTCCTTCCACGTATGCCGCTAAGCGTTGTGGGGAGATGCAAGTTCCTGTCATAAGCAAGGCGGGCAGCATCTGATGTTCTGAGGCCATGCTTTTGGCAGGTTTCGGAGACCCCGTCAATCCACCGTTTCCTTGGTCTTCCTCTTGCCTTATATCTTGAGCTTCTTTGGTTGAAAATTTGTGATGTTATTTGGTCATTTTTCATCCTGGTTAGATGTCCAAACCATTTCATTCTTTGATGTTCTATGTAGTCTAAACATGGTGTAGTTTTGACAGTGTTTCTAATGTCTATGTTCTTTATCCTGTCTAGTCTGGTCTTATTCGCTGCTTTTCTTAGACATTTCATTTCACAGGCTTCTATTTTTCTTTCATGGGTCTTGTTGATTGTCCATGTCTGGCACTGGTAGCAGAGTGTTGGAATGAAGATGGTGTTTATCAATTGTCTTTTGGTCTTCATGGTTATATCTGGATGTTTAAGCAGAGGTGATAGTTGGTATGTGACAGCATTTGCTTTCTGTATTCTTGTTTCTATCTCTCTGTCCATTCTTCCATCCTCTGTAAATATACTGCCCAAGTATTTGAACTCTTTGGTTTGCTTGATTTTGGCACTTCCAACATTTATATTCAGTGGCCTGTGTGTTCTGCTGATCTTCATAACTTCTGTTTTTTCTGTACTGATTTTCATATTATGTTGTAAACAGCTGTTGTTGAGAGTAGTCAGATGTTCCTGTAGATCATATTCATTTTGATACAGTATGCTTTGATCATCAGCAAAAAGTAATTCGTTTATAGCATACACGTCTTGGTTTGCTTCTACAGTGATCTTATCCATGTATGTTATGAAAAGTAATGGTGACAGTACACATCCTTGTCTGACACCAGTTGTGAAACATTTTGTAAACTTTCAAAAATACTATTATTGCATCGTTGAGTAACATTTGTTACAATTACTATTAATAATGTTATTATTCTTTTTCCTCTATTTCTTCTGTTTCTTTTTCTTCTTCCTTTGTTGCTTCTTCTTCCTCTTCCTTTACTTCTTTCTCTTCTTCTTCTTCTTCTTCTTCTTCTTCTTCTTCTTCTTCTTCTTCTTCTTCTTCTTCTTCTTCTTCTTCTTCTTCTTCTTCTTCTTCTTCTTCTTCTTCTTCTTTTGCTTCTTCTTCCTCTTCTTAGCGTTCCCAGCCTGTAATCTCCGGCTGAAAATTCTGGAGTTTTGTCCACTGCTAGACTTGTCTTGTTTCAGAACTTGAATTTGCGTGCACATCTGTTTAACCGGTCTAGCTTATTTATATGCTGGCTCTTGGTTCCCTGCTCCCAGGAAGGTGCACTTCGAAGGAAACACTTCTAATCTGTCCACTTTTTTTACGTGCCTTCTATTTGCGGTCGGTCTATTAACCCCCCCCCCCCCTTCCTCCCGCCTGCCCCTTGGCACCCTAAAACCCACACTAGAACACTTATGAAATAATCTTTACAACATCAAATAACCCAGCCTAGTTGACAAACGTGAACATTCAGTACTGAAATAGAAAATCTCTACAAATCCCAGTTTTAAAAGCCCAGATCCGTTAAAAAGGATGTCGATGTTAACGTTTACTGTTTACAAGGAGAAGTATTCAGTGGTTCGGCATTTTGTTGTTGTCTTTTTTGTAATAATTCAGGACCAACATTTCATTTTTTTTTTTAATGGCCGATTTTTCTTCGTCATCACCATCATATTGGGCCGGTATATATCACATGTGACACACGTTCTAGTCTTCCATTCAGTCTATCCTGTATAATTCTTTGGATCTAATGGATGGATACCAGTCCACTGTCTTTTGTCTTTATCCACAGTGTTCATCTTTTGGTTTCTCTGGCAGGTCCTCATTTCCTCAGTCTATTTTATTCCCATTTCGGAACCTGTTAGGTGTCTCTCTGTCAGTTTCTCCTTATAATGTACCAGCACTCCTCGTGATGTACCCAGCACTCCCCGTGATGTACCCAGCACTCCTCATGATGTACCTAGCATATCGCCAAGACTGGCTACAGCTGACAGGCCATGCTGCTGACGTCACCCAACTGGGTCAACGATACGTTAACGCAGCGTTTCTCAGACTGGGTGCCACGAGCGTATGTCAGGAGTGCTTCATTTCTTGAGTAGCAAAACCGCTTTACAGGTAGGTGTGCCAAAAATTTTTTTTTTTAGCCTGCTGAAAAAGTTGGAGAAACGCTGTGTTAACAGATCGTTAGCCCGGTTTGGTGATGTCAGCAGCATGGCCCGTGAGCTGTAGCCAGTCTTTTCGACATGCTTGGTACATTATGAGGATGATATCGCCATCCTTTTTCTCTTACAACTGATAATGCAGACAGTTGTCCAAACATTCCTCTAATGTCTTTATCTTTCTTTAACCATTCCCATTTAATGTTAATGTGGACTTTTAGTCAGGGTTAACTGGTACTATCAGCATCTCGAATCGTCTTGGTGACAGAGAAAGAAGACGGAGCACGTGTGGGAACGTCCTGAGTGCTATGTTGTCAACTCATTCACTTATTCATTCATTCATTGTTAATAAAATTTCCTAGGCATTTGTGTTCGAATATATTTAAAATCTATTCCAAATCTCTCTCAGTGGGTTCCGGGATCCCTCTGTGGGAGAAACAAGATAGACCCAGTGCCTCCCCAACAAGCATATCGTAAGAGTCGACTAATTGGGGGATTCCCTTGAAGTCAGAGAGCATCTGCCTGAGAGGCAAGGAACCAACAGTCTGCGTACAAGAAAGTCAGATCTGTAAAACAAATGTGCATGCAACACTCAGGTTCTAGAACAAGACCAAAGTCCAGGGGTGGACAAACAACCAGAATTTTCCGCTGGAGTTTACAGCCGGTAAACACGAAGAAGTATTCTAAACCAAACACGACTATAAGAATCACAACATCTGGGCAGTGTTGCCACTTTTCTTTGACAAAAAATATCCAAAACGGTGTCAAAAAATATCTAAAAAGATCTAAATCTGCGTGGAAAAGATCTAGAAAAAACATCCAAATTGAAAAAGTCAAAAATAACATAGCTTTTGTTATGACTTACCCTACATAATCATGTCCTCACCTTCACTGATGTCTGCCTCACAAGATCCACAGGATAAACTTAGCTTGGATAATGAAGTTGAAGCTTCAGATCCAAAATGACCCTGTTATGCTTTAGCTGTTCAAATTTCTTTATAAGTGGAATAGTAGGCTTATTTCCCTAGTCTTATCAGGCCGAATTTTAATGGCACAATACATTTAAGAGGTCAAATTTCATCCTGTTTTTTAGGTTAGATTTGATATAATTCCTAGCACTGAAAACTCTTTCTACGTCAGCATTTGAGTGGGGTAGTATCATGGCAGACATGGCACTTTAAAGAGCTTACAGAATGGACTGTTTGATGAGGCATCTTTAAATTGTCTCACTTCACTCCAAAACGCTTTAGTTTCTGTTTTGTTTGTCCATTCAGCTAACTTTATTTTGGTTAACTGATATTCTGCTTCCGCGACATTATTTTCAGTAGCCCCTAAAAATTTCATAACTTTACAATATTTAGGTATGTCCTTTATTGGCTGAAGTATGTTGCTCACAGAAAAAAGTGAAATATTTTTCAAAACATCTAGATTTTCAGGAAGTCTATGCTTCAATAATGAGATAAGGAAATCTTTACAACGTTTTTTTTTTAAGTTGTTCTCTTCATTCTCTGTTAACAGTCCTTTTGTTTTTAAATCATCAATTTTTGATTCGATTTAATATCCAAGGTGTGGCTTAGGAGCCAAATAGCTCTCTATAGTGCAAGTGAGCAAATCAGCTTCAGAAGTTGGCAAAACCAGTCTTTTACCGAGTAAAATAGCAAGGTGAGATCATCAAGTAATTTAACTTTATCAACAAGTTTAGATTCGAACAGTTTATTAACTTTTTGCACTTCCATTAGAATAGGTTATAAAAAGAGAATGAATGACAAATTGTTTTCATCACTGTACATTCCATATAGTATTTCAGCTGTATAGCACTTTTCACTTTGTCTTGTTATTTCAAAGTGTATCTTCAACTTCAGCCATTGCTTCATAATTCTTTCAACAGCTGGTTAAATTGATAACCATCTAGTTTTGCAATCTGACCGAATTTTCGGTGGTGTGGAACCATCATTCAAGGCTGTATATAATGTATTGTATTGCTGTTGTCTGACAAATGATTTGGAAAACCAGTAAAGTGTTTCAGCAATAAGGTATTCCAAATTCCTTGGTAAATATTTAGATGAAGCATGTGATAATGCTAGCTGCAATGAATGACGCATACATTTTATAAGTATTAACGATGGGTTAGCTTCCTTCAACTTGGCATAAATGCCATTGTTTATACCAACCATTACTGAGGCATTATCAGTACCAATTACAGCCAAATTCTTTAAGCCTA